AAAACCTTTTAAAACCCAGTGTCCTTCCATGATGACAACAATATGTACAATCTAATATGAAGTATGCTCGTGTATTATTTGGAGTGATAGATTAGATACTAGTGTTTTAAGGTAAAACAGAACAGAAACAGAGCCTGACTAATATGGGATTTTTGAGGCTGTTACTGGTAGTGATTTTAGAGGGGGAAAATTCTCCAGTAACCAACATGGCAACCGATATTTTTGAGATGGAATGAAAATGATGTTAAGTATATGTTGTGCAGCCTGACCTCGAGCACGGCACACAGTTTCCCTCCCGCGAGGTTCATCAAGAGGTGAGTGAGGTGGGCAAAGATGTCGGGGCTGGCACACATTTCACCCTGAAAATAAAGACAGTGGAGTCCAATACACCATTTTTAACTATGACCTCAATATAAATACATAACTGATAATAATTTCAGTAATTTCAGCATACACAAAAAATAAGCTTTATTATGGAGGATGTATATTTAGTACCTCTGGGTCACCGATGGCTGAGTCAAAGCCTGCACACACCAAGACCAAGTCTGGGCAAAACTGTGACAAAGAATCACAGATAAATAACCTCTCATTCATTATCTTCTGTTCGCAAAATGTGAATTTAAAGTGAAAATGGCTGACCTCATATGCAACTGGCAGGAGGACGTGAAAGAAGACTGAAAGATAGTCGCTGTTCTTCATTCCCACCTGAAATATCATAATGGGACCTTATTAATAAACACAATCAGTTGACTGACAATGCTTCGGTACAAAAATTGATTTAATGTTTTACTTTATAAATGTAAAAAATACTTTCGGGTTTCAGCTTTAAACTTGCTGAGCAAAGCTGCTTGTTCGCTCCACTGTGACCCAACTATAAACTGCATATATCTTCAAACGAACAGTATTTCCGTGGTTACTTACTTTGTTCCACGGTACATTTATATTAAATCCCGCCCCTTTCTCTTTGCCAACACTGTCATAGTCCGATTCTCTAAGTTGAGGCCAGAATTTCTGATGCTCATAGCGGTGCCACGAGAAGTAGAGCACACTGGAGGGAAAAAATAAAATTGTATGCAGAATTTAATATGCCAGAATATAACATCCACATATAAAATTCAAGATCCCTCCATTAGGAAAAAGTCACCTTGGATCATCTTCAAAACAGTACTGCACCCCTTGACCATGATGTACATCCCAGTCAACTATCAAAACCCTGAAAACACAAAATGGTTTAAATATGTAGCAGCTTTTGGAGGATTCATCTCTCACACAGTTGCCAGAATGAACAAAAAAAAAAATCACGTTACCTTTTGAGCCCATATTTTTGTTTTGCATATAGAGCTGCTATGGCCACATTATTGAACACACAGAATCCATTGGCAGCACTGCGCATACTGTGGTGTCCTGGAGGTCTGTCAACAATGTCAGAGAAGTGATAGAAGAAGTGTCAAGATTTTAGTAATTATTTATTATATTTACTTATTTATTAATCATTTAGTCTATGTAGAGATTGTAGAGAGTAGAGACAAGGCAGATAAAAAGCTTAGTAATGTACTTTATAATAATATAAAAAGTGGAAAAAGAAGCCAATTTCAGAATTTGGGAAGCTGTAAACTATTAGTTCCACAAATTCCAATTTGATGGTCTCTTGCTGATGACTTCTTTTGTATTGGCTGTCCAGGACTTTACACACTTGTGTTTTATTGCTCAAGGCATTCTATACATATATTTCATTAACTGTTGAATGACACTCTCGGATGCTTGCAATCTGGACTGCTGTGTCTAACTGGTTAACGGCCTCACCTGACCAGAGCCATGCCATTCCTCACCTTCCCCGTCATAACACTGTCCACTAGTTGCAGCGCGGCCCCTGCAGCCAGCTTGGCACAGTGGTAGATGTTCTAGGACAGTAAATGAGAAAGAGAAACGGTTAGCCGGGAGTGAAGCTGATCTGTTTTCACCGCAGCAACCTGAGACAGCAATCTGACCACCACTGAATGAACAAATGCAAGATACGGATAAGTGGCAAAAGCTGGAACTCAGCTGGTCACAATATAAAGTGACGGACTAACTGGGTGGAAGTAGACGTCGCCATATTGCAGGGTGAACTCCTTCAGGTCTTCCAGAGTCATATAAGGGGTCTTCTTCACTGCCTCCAAGTACTCCTCACTGTTGGGAGCAGCACAGTACACGTAGCGGAGTGACTTCAGGAATTTATTTCAGAGTCAGAAACATTAACTGAACCAGGCGGGGACTCTGTGAAGGCATCAGGACTGACCTGTGAACCAGCAGAATGTCTGCATCCGTCGCCTCACGGACCGGCACGGAGACACAGCGATCAGCCAGACCGTTCTTGATCAGAGCTTCGTGACTGACTGTCAGACGCTCAGGCACCTCGATCTTACATGCAGGGCTGGAAAGAAAATAATGTCAAATAATGTTGCATATAGTTGAATTATCTGTTGAATTTTGAGTTCAACATGTGTTCATTATGACCCAGTGAATACTTTGGTCAGTATTTTAATTCAACAAGTGAATTTGTGCCTGATCATTTGAAATTATGTTCCTTTTTTTTTTTTTCAAAATATAGTCAGTGGTAGTCTTTTTATTTTTGCACTTTTTGCACACAAACAAGCTAAAGAAAAGGTGAAAATGGAGTCAACAAGCAGTGGATGTTCCCCTACATTAACAATACAAAAACTAGTAAAAAAAAAAAAAAAAGATGAAATAAAAAATAAAATACATGAATGCAAATGACATAAAGGAAAATAAGAGACAGCAAATCCACTCAGCTATAATTTACAAAAATAATAAAAAATATGGCAAAAGAGACTAAATTGACATTATCTAAATAAATTAGACAAAATTACAATTTATTCTTAAACTGTACTATTAATTCGGCTGAGAAACAGTTGAACAATAATGCTCAATCAGTTATAAAGTCTGTGTATTCAAAGCCCATTGCGTGATCTCATCTCACTAAGGAAGTGAAACTGCTGTGGCATTCACACCTCTGATTATTCCCTTTACCAAGTTAAACAATGATCTTATGGGGAAAAGCCTAACATCGGTTCACACAAGCAACACTGTGTTACTGGGGTTTTGTTTGTTTGTTATTTTGTTTGGTTTGTTTGTTTTGCTGTAAACGTGGCACCCAGCAAAGTGTAATAAATAAAGTGCTGAAGGAGAGCGAAGTGCCAACTAAACTGTATGAGAGAGACACTGGTGAGAATAATAATTAACACTAAGAGAGCGAATGTGATAACTTTAATGTAATACACCCCGGGTGCTCCTCACTAACCGACCCGGCTAGCTACAACAACCAGCAACTTCAGTTCCTACCACTACAACAACTTTAATGTCCAGAGAATACGTCAAATGATTTGAGGACATGAATCAACAATTTGAATGAAATATGTATTTATTTAAAACTAAAAAAACAATCACGTATTTAACCATTGACACCCTTTTTTCCTAAGATACAGGCAGTAGCGTAAACTAGCCGGTGACTCCATGTACAGTTACGTTAACGCTACTGTAACGTTAATGTTACGTTACTTGTAACGTCTGTCTAGAAGCATAAACTAATGAAAATAGGTGAAATGTAACTACAATTATCCCGCCTAAAGACACAGTGGTATACCGATATTCGAGGAAGCAATATTCATTAATGCTTATTTAATTAGCTACCGTTAGCTCGAGCACCAAAGTGTTTTTTGTTACTTACTCAACCCAGAGCAGTTTGTATCTGCTCATCTCCTCATCATAAATCAATGCTGTTCCCATCTTCATTACTTCTCAGTCCGGCTGCGTGGACTCAAACACGTATGTTAGTAAAGTTCAGGTTTCTGCAGTGCAACAGTTTCTTGCTGTCGCAGACTGTTTCTCACACAAACTGCACGAAGCGACAATTAAGCTGCTACAGTCAAAGTTTCACCAAGTGCACAGTGTCAGCAAACCGAGAGGCTCCCTTCATGTCCTGAGTTAAAGCATGTAACGTTACAACCAACAGTGCGGGTAAAGAGCAACCCACACAAATCTTCTATTAGGAGTTTTATGGAGGTAGTCAAATAGTTCAAAGGTGCATTAGCGTCACCTTCTGGACGGAGCTAGGTACTTCTGCAGAAGAGACTTCAACTTTTTTGAATGTCATTATTATTACTTATCTGTTCTTTAAAATAAAGTTAGTGCTGCTGTTTAAAAATGGCTAAAATACCAGGTATACATAGAAATATATGTAAAGGAATATCATAAATCTGTTTTTATTTCACTGGCTAGAAGCTGCTTTGGTTTGGATGGAAATGGTCACTGCTAAAAGACCAAAGCTTAATAATAATCTTTTTATGATTAAAAATAACAACCAGCACTGTGTTGGTTATCACACACACAAATCATTGTCACCTTGCGTCAGTTTTTATTGCTACTTTGTAGACCTACATATAATAGGAATGTTAATACTATCTGTGCCTTGTGTGATCTTTTTACTTTGATTGGATGTACTATGTATTTTTTGAACAATTGAAAGACAAATGTAGGTTTTGATCAATCAACTTTAATTTAATAGAAAAAGCAGTGCACCACAAAATCAATAAACAATTCAGACTATATACTAGTACAAAATATAAAAACAGATCAGATGACATGAGAACATTTGGTTTGAGCTCAACTATATTTTAGGAAGTGGTGCCATCTTTCCTGTGGGAAATATGTGGATTGGAAGCAGGTAATTATGACTATGAACTCATGAATGGTTAATTTGAAAAACATGTTTATTTTGAAAATATTGACATCTGACACAGTTTCTTCTCGGTCCAAATTTAGGCCACTTTGGAATTCAGTCCCTGGACTTCAACAACACCAAAAATACTCCGGAAAACATATCACATTCAATGCTGCTTTACTGTCAACAAACAAAATGACTTAATGTCCTGGTTCCTCAATGTAAAATTAGATTTCATTTTCATTTCAAGCAGCTATCTTTTTGGGTGTTAAGCCATGATTCACGTGGCCTCAGAAATCATCCCACCCACCTCCCCCACCCTCTCCTCCTCTGTCCTATCTGCTGTTTCCTCTTGCGTTCTTGTGGGAAAAGCAGAGCTCCTTTCCTCTCTTTCTTCCTCTCCTCCATCTTTCTCTCCCACCCCTCCCTCTCCTCCTCTCCTGCTCGTCCTGCACAACATGAGGAGAGCTCCTCTGCATCTCTTCCTGAATGACGGGTCGCAGGCAGCATACAGGAGAGGGTTAAGGCAGGAGTTGAGATAGGCTAAACAGGTGACGTACGGGTGAGCAGCCAGTAAAATCTGATCTAAAGAGCAGGAGTATGGGACAAAACCAAACTCTAGCAGCATGGAAACAGTCTTATTAACATGCAGAGGCAGCCAGCACAGGAAGAAGGCCATCACTAGAGTGACAATGACCCTGAGGAGTCTTCGCTGGCGCTTGCGGTCAGGACGAGGGCCCCGTCCAAAATGTCTGTTGAGGAGCTGGGCCAGTGAGCAGTAGCAGACCAGCAAGATGACAAGAGGAAGCAGGAAGCCTATTAGAGTTGATTTAAGACTCAAAGCGGCTGCCCACCACATCTCTGCCCTCTCCCGATCTGCCTCCTCCAGCTCTGCTCCAATCAGCATTGAGTAATCCATCTGGCAGGAGAGGAACACTGATCCAGAGTCAGTAGGGTGAATTGGCTCAAGCTGCCAATCATCCTCAGATTCAGGGTCCATCTCCACCTCCCTTACGGAGCGCAGCAGAAGACCAGGAAGGGCCAGCACCCCCGCCAGCACCCACACCCCTCCAAGTATCCACAAAGCCCTGCTGGGGCAGCTCTGCGGGGCATGGTGGCTGGAGTGTCGGCGTCCAGTCAGAACCCAGTACCGCTCCACACTGAGCATGCTCAGGCTGAACACACTGGCATACATGTTGAGAGCAGTGAGGAAGCTGCTGATTTGGCAGAGGGGTCGCCCAAAAGGCCAGTGGTAGCCCATCGCCGTGTAGACTGCCCACAGAGGGAGAGTCACAAGGAAGCAGAGGTCAGCTAATGCCAAGCTGGCTATTAGAGAGTCTGTGAGTGAGCGTGAGGGACGAGGGATGGAGGGAGGATAAGAGGAGGAGGTGGAGGAGGAGTGAGAGGAGGGTCTGCAGCTTTGTCCTGAGGGATACCCACAGTTTTCCTTCTTCTTCTGAGCAAATGACCCGTGGTGAAATCTACCAGCACTGTTAATATTCTGCTGACTGGTTCTGAAAATGCCAGCACAACAGAGCTTTCCAATTCCAGCATTGTCTCCCGTTCCCTTCCTCTCGACTCGGTCCACGTAGGCCCACAGCACCAGGCCGTTGCCGAGACAACCTACCAGGAATGCCAGCAGGTATACGGATGGGATGATGGAGAAGGAGGGGGACCAGTCGCTGTAGTCGCAGTAGAAGAGGGGAGGGGGAGAAGGTGAGGGGGAGGTGAGGAAGTCTGTCATCTGTGCGTCCGTGTCCTTGGTTTCTATATAAAGTCATTTGCCATTAAAATCCCTGAAGGTTCCAGTACTTTCCTGGCAAGCGGAAGTTTGGTCAGTGCAATGTCTAGAAGTAGAAAGTTCCTCAGTCCACTTAGATGGTCTGAAAATTCAATAAAACAACAAGATCCTTAAATATTTGCAACAACAAATCAAAGTTACACACTTTACTTTTTCTGAATTTTGTCCTAATTAGGACTAACTAGCACAAGAATGTTGGGCATTTAATACATACATTTGATTAAATTACCTGATTAAATAAAAGACTTTTTTTTTTCAATTAAAACACTTCCACAGACCATTTTAGGCCTTTATGAGCATCTAAGTTAAATTAAAGAATTTAATTCCTGCAAGACAATCAGAATCAAAAGTGCGCACATCTAAAACAATGTTTATATGTTCTTCATAAAAAATGCAAAAATAGACAACAGATTGTCACACTGCATTGAATTCATACTGTTAATTTGCCATTTGATAAAGCCTTTATCAAACAGCATGTTTTGCATGCAAAGTTTGCATCCTAAACTATCACAAATGAGGGCAGAGTCCTGTGAGGAATTATGATGAAACTCAACAGACACTTACCTTCGGGTACTTCATCAGCTTGAACAAAATCCTGTGTAATGATCACTGTGGAGCAAAATTCAGTCCTTGTTCTCTCATTTCACTTTCTCTCTCAGTCTCTACATCTGTACTGTGCTGGATGAGAAAGGTATGCCTTCCTCTTAAGTCTAAATATATAGCACTCTACACACACACACACACACAACACACATTTGCACACACCCAGGACCTTTCTTTCTCTTGTTCTCAAACCAGACCACCCCAGCAGAGAGTTACGGGACCTGCAAACAGCCCCTCCCAATACAAACACACACACCTCCCGAGAGACACAATAACACCACATATCCTCCCCCCTGCAAACACACACAAACCCGAGACACACAAACAGATCCCCCCCAAATCTTTTAGGCTGCTCATATTCTCTCTGCACTGACGCAAACACATCCAAACGCACATAAAGTACACAAATGTGTGCAAACACAAACACACTCTTTCTTCTCTGCGTCTTACATGTTCAAACACTCAGTATACAGTGGTCAAATGTAACAACCCACGCAGAGGACAAACAACTAAAAGCCCTCACACCATGAATATACTCAAAAGGCCTTTAAACCACAAAAAAAGACAGTTTTCAGATGGAAATAGACCCTGAACTACAGCTGTGTTATCTGAAGCAATTAGGAGGCCATAATTCACAGTAGAGAAATATTCTAAATGACTGTTTTAGTTGGGCTTATGTGTTGCACAGTCTAAATACCACCAGTTATTATTTAAGTAGCACTAGTAATATTTAAATTAAGAGTGCATTTTACTGTACAACTATGCCTGCAAAAGATTATTGTTTTAGCTGCTCAATCAAATTTGTCTTTGTGATATAGTGACATAACCTCGGTGTCAGTCATAGGTACAGCCCTGGCAGCAATATGCTATCAGAACTACACATTTTAGACACTTTTTAGGCTAAGAGTTATTCCTTTTACCTGCACTTTGTCTCCATCCTGCATAGATGTTTTCACTCATTTTCATATGTCATACTGGGATTTGCAAATACAGGCAATAATAGTATTATGAAGAGTAGGGCGGCCATTATAGTTGGGCATTTTATCAGAATCATTGTTTTGATATGTGGACAATAATAATAACAAATATATCAAACATCAATTTACTACGTTACTGACCAGTCTAACCAGTCCACCACAGCATATACTTTTGTAATACTTAAATGGTTATCATAATACATCGTTTTTCTCATAATATAAGTGGCAGCGACACCCAGCAGTTTCCCTATAAATGGTTAGTTAACGAAGGCGTAAGCTGTTAGCTGTTAGCTGTGTTTGGAGACTCCACTGACTTCTGGTTGTCTCATAATGGTTTTGTCCACAGCAGCTTCTAAAAAGTCTTGAAGAAAAAAGTGTTTGATCTTGTGTCTGTCTGTGTGCTAATCCAAATTAGATTTTGAACAAATTTGATTTAGTTAAGAAATTCTCTAGACAGTCATTTTTAATTTCAAAGCAAACACTGAATTTGTAATATATTAAAATATATAATAGCGGAGAGATGACAGGAAACAGGGACACTGCAGTTCATGGTTGATGTGCCCTCTGAGCCTTGAGATAACATTATGTTACTACATTTAAAAATAAAAGGCATTCAAAGCTGGTCTCGGTTTTATAAAATGATAAAACTTTTACTTCTAAAAGGTGGAGGCAGTGCCCTCGACTTCACCTTCAGAGATGATAACAAAGTTTCGTTTTTAAGGACTGTTTCCATTATGTCTAAGCCTACATATTGGATGTATGGATCAACAGTATAGACACTGGATAGGTCAACATGAGGTTACAGTGTAAACAGTGAAGATGTTCTCATAGTAAACAGGAAGTGTTTGTTTCCAGAGGGGTAGAGGTCGTGCTGCCATCAACCTGTTGTTATGTTTCCAAAAACATTCCAGTCACTCACGACAACATGGTGGGGGGAACACACACACACACACACACACACACACACACACACACACACACACACAAAGCTTCACTTACAAAGAGGCAAAGAAAGGCAGAGTAACTGCAGTAACTGTAGGTTGAGCATCAGAGTGGGAAACAACAGGGGGAAGGATGCGCTGCAGTGTAACAATACAGAGTTAGACCAACAGAGAATGGCTGTATGACAGGATAGACTTTAAAAGACCATATAAATCGACAAACTTCTGCAAACGTGGTAATTGTAGCATAGTCGATACAATTACAGTATTAATTACTGTATTGACAGTGGTCTTTGGTGGGCTCCACTATATATGTATAACTGTACCTAGTAGTTGTCTGTTTTGTTCAGCTTGTTGTCCTGTTTATTTATGCTTATTCTGTGTATGTACATTGACAGCAACGTAAAACCGGAGTTAAATTTCTTGTATGTGTGCACATACGTGGCCAATAAAAGTGATTCGGATTTTGATATCTCTTGCATCCATAAATACTGTTTCCAAGAGCAGCCTTCAGTATTCTGGTTCAATCAGACCGGTCAACAAGGGAACACATTCTGCAGGCTTTCAAATGTAAACTTGTTTGACATTTACACAAAGGTTTGTACAGACATTCACTATTATACATGGTTCCCAACTGATTTTTCTTCTCCTGCAACCCTGAAGATGACATTTGTGATTATGGGTAACATTTTTTAGGCTCAGTGGTTCCAGGGACTTAAAAACACACATCAACTTGATCTTAATTACCTTGAGCAGATTGACATTGTGAAATATCTTACACATGACTTATTTTTTTAAATAACAGCTACCAGAAAGCTGTTGCTACTCTGGACATGTTTGGCTAACCTTTGTCTACGCCAGACACATTCTTAATTATTTTAAGACACATTATCCCTATAAAGAGTTTGTGGAACAGATGGGAAACAGTGACCCCTGTGTTCATCTGACATTAGTGCAATGATGCTTGAATATATTAAATGACTGTAATGGTCTCTTATATTGCCTTTTTGAAACCCCTATGTGGGTGTGCCGGACCTTTAAGATCTCAAAGAACTTTGCTATGCCTGTGTCAGCCACTGGTTAATGGTTTGTCAAATATGGTAATGGTTTGACTACTTGTAAAGGGAAAAAGATAAGAATTTGCATAATGTGCCTGAGATGGTATGAAGCACAGAGGAGGCACAAGTCCACACAGCAGGACGTTTCAAAGGGATTAAATGCACTGTGGAGACATACTGCACGTTTCGTCATGATTGTCTACAGAACAGATCGAACGCTTGTCTGTCTTCTTATCGTTGTGATGGCAGGAGCAGAAGTGCAGGAGAACCTCTCACCTGAGTGTAAACAGTTCCTGTACATGGGCACACTGCCTCGTGGGCTTGAGGAGCAGCCTTTTAAAAAGATTTGCCAGTTCTACGAGGGCAACCCACGATTTGTCACCCTGTATGACACCTTCAACCACATCCCTGTTTATTCTGCGTACATCTTTAAGCGCTCGGATGGCTCCAAGAAGGTTGATGTGCCATGGATGTATGAGCCACAGGTAGGGGCTAAATATTGGATTAATGTCTTTCCCTCTCAGGGTTGAAAAATTAATTTCTAGTGTTTAGGGGAAGAGATTTTGGAAATATCCTTTGGTGATCAGTCTTAATCTATTTACTGTATAGACAGATTTGTTTTTATGTGTATCCTGGCAGCTCTCCACAGTGTCTGGCTCCAGAGAGATGCAGCAGTTCCCTTCAGAATATGTCCACAAGAGTTTTGAAGATGCCCAGGCCGTGCTTGACGACTACTCTGACAGTGTAATCTTTGAACGAGGTCAGCTGAATCCAGACGAGCACCAGGCCAACCCTGATGACAAAGCATCCACGTACACACTGACGAACGTGGTCCCTCAGGTCAGAGAGTTCAACATCGGCCCCTGGAAAAACCACGAGCACACCATCCGGAGGAGGCTCAACAACTACTGCCGTGGCACTGCTTACGTGATCACCGGGGTCACGACCTCTGGGCACACAATCCGCCGCCACAACATCAACCGCCTGGGTATCCCCACCTACCTCTGGTCAGCCTACTGCTGTATTGATTTTGACCACAACGCACCGTACTCAGAGCGCTCGAAGTTCCCTGCATTTGCAGCTAACGGGCTCAACGACAGGGAGAACGTCAAGGTTCAAGAGATGACGGTGCAGCAGCTGGAGGACTTCCTGAAGAGGGTAACTTATGTTGGAAGCTCTTTCCAGCTCTTCTATGACAACTGTGCGCCACCTAATAGTGCCAATAGTGCCCTGCACCTGACTTAATATAGTGGAAAAGGTCATCCATATTCAGTATAGATTGATATTCACACACACTAGTGTCAGTTAACATTTAGCAGCTAATGGGAACCAATCATTTCACTCAAAATCCATTGTTTTTTTTAAACCAATTGATTCTACATTTTGCACTTTCCCTGGGTAAACATAGCTTGCTGCCAACATTTACGGCAGGTTGTTTGCTGCTTAAAATCTTTTTCACACTTAGATAATAGACAACTGTCTTTGTTCTTGGCCTGAAAAGATAATCACACCACTACTACCCTGATAATTTGACTTTTGTTTAATGATTTTACCCAGTATTTATTCTGTAGTTTAACAGTAATTTCAGTCATTAGTTTTTCTGAGCTCTATTCATTGAAGATCTGTAAATGTGGCTGAAACGCTACTAAGTTGACCTTTTAGCTTAGATTTTGTTACATAAACTGTCCCTAAAAGATCAAGATTGCCCTCCATGTTGACAAAGAAAAACCCCTTTGTTACTAAAGTACAATTTAAAACATTACAAATTCTCTCTATTATTTCATATTGTTATTCTGTAGTACATCAATTATAATTCAATTATGTCGTATTAGATGGTGTATGCTTGTTGTGCATGAACTCACCATGAAAACCCAAAGCCTGAGTGGTTGTACTCATTCGCTTTATCACGTTAACTTATCCTTATAATGACTGGGAACCACCTGCCTCTGTAGGCCTTTTGTTCTGCACAGTCAGATTAGGCCAACAGTTTTACATTTTCACATACAGCCTCTAAACTGTAGCAGTACTATGCACCACACAGACTAATGCAGGGCAAACTGAGCCTATATCAAGATTCTGACTTTTCATTTTAGAGTTTTTTGATCCTATACATACACATTATATATATAT